CACGGCCCGCCCCGCGTCCGGTCCGACCGGCCGGACGCGGGTTCAGAATTTTAAAAAAAATTTTTAAAAATTATTTAAATTGTAAAAAAAAAAAATACCTTGCTAGAGAAGAACGCTTTGCCGAGACCGTAGGATTTTTTCGACATTTTTTCGGGATTTTTTTGACGTGCGTACGAGTCGTTGAAGTTACGGTTTTAGAGAGATAGAGAGTTTAGAGAGAGAGAATTCAAAAATATAGTAAAGGGTATTTTCGTAATTGGGGGGCGGTGACTAGTAATAGGGGGCGGTAAATAGCAATCCACTAATGATTTATAATAGTTATGAAATAAATTAAAAATCATCCGACCACCGATTAGGGATGAAAACGATCGGAAACGATCGGCATAGGGCTCAACCATTTCCACTTTCATATTTTTTTCTCGAAAACGAAAATGATACGATAACATCGGAAACGAAAACGACATTGGTATTCCGGTAATATCGAAAACAAAACTATCCGATCGAAAATATATCGATAACGATCGAAATATATTAAAACGGTATTTAAAAAACGATAAACACACCACATTATAAAATATAGCATTAAAACATTAATTGAAATATTCTCATGGCATAATAGTAGCAAAATCCAAATTAAAATCCACATCATTTGCTATAACAAAATCCATAAATTCCAATAACAAGCAATTGAATTGTGACTTGTCCACCAAATTCTCATGGAATAATAGCAGCAATTGAAATTTGAAACATGAAATGGGAGCATTTAGGTGAGAAATCAACCATGGAACCACCAAATCCACAAAAAAACCACAACAAATTTCGAAAATGTGAGCTTTATAATTAAAAGTGAGCCTAGTATGGGTTGGGCCGGTATTACCGACGGTAAAATACCGTTTAAATACGGTAATTTTCGAAAACGATCGGAAAAGGGCTAAACCGTTTTCGTTTTCATTTTCGAATTTTTTTACCGTTTCCATTTCCGTTTTTCCGGTTACCGTTTCCGTTTCCGTTTAGCCTCCAAATCCGAAAAAATTTCGGAAACGATTCCCGGTAATCGGAAATTACCGTTTCCGTTTTCATCCCTACCACCGATTGTCCGTTAATGAAGAAAAAAAAAAAAAAAAAAAAAAAAAAAAAATCGGTTTGATTTATCTTTATCTTCGGTTTGATTTTCAGGGAGAAAATTCTAGACTACTCTCTTTAACTCCGGCATATAGAGTACAGTACAGCCCTTTAATTTTGCTGTTTTATCATTTATTTATGCTTACAAGAAGAAACAAAGAGGGACTATGGCCGAAAAAATTGGCAGCACTGTCTGCGTAACCGGCGCCGGAGGATACGTGGCCTCGTGGCTGATCAAGCTGCTCCTCTCTCACGGCTACAACGTCCATGGCACCGTCAGAAACCCTGGTTCTTTCTCTCTCCGTCTCTAGTCGTTGAATCCCGAAAATTTTCTAAAATTTGTGTAATTTAGACGCAAAGTGACTGAATTCTATGCACTGTTCTTCCGAAATTTATGCATCTTGGCTACAATTTGTTACAATAGTTGGTTGTCTCTTGTATTGATTAGAGAAGCAAATGTGGAAATGACTCAATAGTGTGTGTACTTGAATGATGTTTTTATCCAATCATTGTTTTAGGTGAAACAATGAACTTAAAAGGTGAGTTTGTATATCCAGTTCCCAGTTGCTGCCTCTCACACATGCCCTTGTGATTTTCAATGGGCACTCTAAACATAATTTTTAATAGCATTGACATGCTATTACCAAAAAAGGAAAGAGTGTTTTTCATCCTATGTTCCACTTGAATATCTATGGCTTGGGTCGATGACAAAAAACGTACAGTTCGTGTGCCTTCGAACACAAGTAGTCTAGTAATTTGAGCTCATAATAATTTGTATTTTGTATTTTGTAGGGGACGACAAGTACTTTCATTTGAAACAGCTCAATTACGCAGATGAAAAACTAAAACTGGTTAAGGCAGACTTGCTCAGTTTTGACTCCATTCTTGCTGCTGTCAAAGGATGCGATGGAGTTTTCCACGTTGCCAGCCCAGTTCCTTCTGGCTCTGTGTCGAACCCTGAGGCATGATTTTTCAGTTCTCACTCAAATGTCAAAATGCATGTTCATGCCTAATTTGGATGTATTAGGAGTTTTTTTTTTTT